CTCCTGCCGATTTCGTCTGCCCCACGTGCTGTAGCCTCAGCTCATCACCGGCCCTTCCCTGCATCCATCAAACATGACATTTCATCAAAGATTAAACTGGTCGCTGGGTCTCGTCTCGCACAAGTCGCGTCACTTCTTGGATCCTGTCAACCTGCAGTGTGCTTGCACCAAAGTGTATTATCAAGATTACCAGCATATGTGGACTCTCGTGAATACACACAAGCCATTGGCGAGCCCCAATCGCTTCTCCATCAAATTTCTGCCAAATTTGGTGTATGCTACGCTGCAAACTGTGCTACAATGTTGGCCTATGTATCTCCGGCTCACTAAAGCCTGAAATGGCAGGCAGGATCTCGCCTTGAGATCTGCATCAAATGGTGGTGTAGCCTGGAGTCGAACCAGGAATTATTTCCCGCTGTATTATTTGACAAACAATTAAGAGCTGCGAGCGTGGAGCCGTCCGCTACTGGGTCTTATTCTTGCTCTGCAATTGTACCCTGCGTCGTCGAATGTGAGTTCAAGGGAGATTCCAGCATGCAAGAAAAAGAAGTAGAAGAGGCTGTGACCCAGCCTGGAGTCGAACCAGGAAACCCCGTAGAAAATGTGACCGATGTAACAGGGTGCGGGTGCGGAACCATCCGCTACTGAGTCTCATTACTCCCTCATTGAATGCTGCATCGAGTGCGAATTTAAAGGAGCCAGAGCACAAAAGACGAAAAAGAGGAAGACAAATGGTCCATGACCCATGACCCAGCCTGGAGTCGAACCAGAGTTCCCGCTGTACTATCGTTTAATTTTAAGAGCTGCGGGCACAGACTGTCCGCCACTTGGTCTCCCTCCTCCATCAAACCCTGTGTTGAGTCTGAATTCGAGAGCAATACCGGAGTGTGAAAAAAAGACAGCAGAAGAGGCCATGACCCAGCCTGGAGTCGAACCAGCGGCTTCCGCTGTATGAACCACATCCACTTGAATACATGGTGCGGGAGCGGAACCGTCCACTACTGGGTCTCCTTTCTCCCTGATTAAATTCTGTGTCGAGTGTGAGTTGGAGGGAGATGCAAGCGCGCAAGAAAAAGGAGTCAGAAGAGGCATGAGCCAGCCTGGAGTCGGACCAGGGTTGATATTCCCGCGGCATCAATTACCATAACCTTAAAAGGAATAATCCAGCGCGGGTGCAGAACCGTCCGCTAGTGGGTCTCCCTCCTCCCTGATTAAATCATCTGTCGAGTGTGAGTTTGAGAGCGATGCTGGAGCGCAATGAATAGAAATCCAGGAGTCGAACCAGGAGCTTCCGCTGTAAGAGTTGGAGGAGGGACATGGCGCGGGCACTGAACCGTCCGCTACTGGATCTTATTCATGCAATTAAACCTTGTGTCAAGTTTGAGGTGGAGGGAAATTACAGCGTGCAAGAAAAAGGATGTGAAAGAGAACATGATGCAGCCTGGAGTCGAACCAGGGTTAATATTCCCACGGCAGCAATTACCGCAACCAGAATACGGTGCGGGCGCGGAACCGTCCACTACTGTGTCGGAAAAATCGAAAACACCAAATAAGGCCGAACATGGGCGTATAAGGTCAAATCAGGCCATCAGGTTTGGATGGCACTTATAAGGTTCAAAAACCCCCGGAAAAGGGCTTGTCAGCCTGACGGGCCTGATAAGGGCATTTTTATGGCTTTTCGCAAAAGGTTCTGACCATTCTTACGTAGCTTTCTAGTCTTGGACGCAGACCCTCATGACATCCCAATTTGGGAACCCTGTCATGAGGGTCTGGGCTGTAATCAGCCAAATAAGCATGCATGAGCCTCTTGATTTCTCGGTTTTTTGGGCTCTCGTTCGTGGGCATTTCAACCTTTCCTCGCAAAACTTTGGAGAGACAGTTGTAGCTATAAACTATTAAGACTCCTGGAAATATTCTCAGATTTATTGGGGAAGATGTTTCTATCGACTGGAGGACCCAAAGTTCCGGGGTCCTGCTCGGTGGCTGTGTGGACCGGCAGTTTTAGCGGTGAAACAGCCGGGGTCCCGGTTGCGAGAGGCTCATGTATGGTTGTTCGGCTGGTTACAGCCCAGATCCTCATGACAGGGTTCCCAAATTGGGATGTCATGAGGGTCTGCGTCCGAGACTAATAGCCTTCAGTCATTCAGTGCTCTCAACGGGCATCTTCCAGGCGTTCTCTACGATTTAATGCTATGTATGATATTTAACTTATGTATACTAAAGACTACGAAATTATTCTCAGCAAACCTGGTTCACGTTGGAACGGCACCAATCGAGTTTTGTACCTTGTTCGGCCCACCGGTTTACCCTTGTACCGTCTCAATTAAGCCCGTTTGACTTTGCGGTTTCATTATTTTAATGCATCTGGGTGCCGTAGTCACATCAAAAGGTTATTGACAACACTTGGGTTCATTTTTTTTCATTCTTGGGAGGGGGGATCTGACGGAGCCTGACCGGCCCTGATATGCTTGACCATATGACCTGACACGGTCTGATCAGGGCTTACAAGCCCGTCAGGTCTCGTCAGCCCCTGATAAGGCAAAATCGATTTTTCCGACATGGGTCTTGTTCTTCTGCAGTTAAAATTTGTGTCGAGTGTGAGTTCGAGAGCGATGCCAGAGCAACAGAGAAAAAAGTATAGACGGAGTTATTTATGACTCAGCCTGGAGTCGAACCAGGGCTTCCGCTGTAAGAGTTGGAAGCGGTACACAAGGGGTCGGGCACGGAACCGTGCGCTACTGGGTCTTATTTCTATGCAATTAAACCTTTCTATACAATTAAATCCTGTGTCGGGTGCGAGTTCGAGAGAGATGCCGGAGTGCAATGAATAAAATCCAGCTAGCACAAACTATATATGACCCAGCCTGGAGTCGAACCAGGAATTAATTACCGCTGGCAAATTTTCTTGGCAATGAACAGGTGCGGGTGCGGAACGCCTCCGCTACTGAGTCCTACTCCCATACAATTGAACCTTGTGTCGACTGCGAGCTCGAGAGCTATATCGGAACGCTGAAAAAGAAAAGAACAAAGAAGCTATGACCCAGCCTGGAGTTGAACCAGGAGCTTCCGCTGTAAAAGCTGGAAGAGTATAAAGGGGTGCGGGACCCTCCGCTACTGGGTCCTACTCCCATACAATTGAACCTTGTTTCGAGTGTGAGTTCGAGGACACAACAGAAGAAAAATCTAGCGATGGCGAACAACGACCCAGCCTGGAGCCGAACCTGGAATCCCCATCGACGTAGACGGCGGCTGGTACTGTTTACAGGGCGCGAGCGTGGAACCGTCCGCTACTGGTTCTTATCCCCATCTGACTGTGAATTCGAGAACCATTCCAACATACAAGAAAAAGGAAGGAGAACAAAAGCTACGACCCAGCCTGGAGTCGAACCAGGAGCTTCCGCTGTAAAGGCTGGAAGAGTAATATAAAGGGGTGCGGGCGCGGAACCGTCCGCTACTGGGTCTTATTTCTATGTAATCAAATGCTGTGTCGAGTGTCAGTTCGAGGGAGATTCCAGCGCGCAAGACAAAGAAGTAGAAGAGGCTATGACCCAGCCTGCAGTCGAATCAGGAACTCTCGTTGCATTAACACACACACTCTTTCAAGAGCTGCGGGCGCGGACCGTGCGTGACTGAGTCTTGTTCCCATGCATGCAATTAAACCTTGTGTTGAGTGTGAGTTCGAGAGCGATGCCGCAGCGCAATGAATAAAAATCAGGCGACTATTTCATGATCCAGCCTGGAGTCGAACCAGGGGCACCCGCTGGTATGCTTCGGCGAGGATCTCTAAGAGCTGCGGGCGCGGAACCGTCCGCTACTGGTTCTTATTTCTATGTAATCAAATGCTGTGTCGAGTGTGAGCTCGAGAGCGATGCTGGAGCGCAATGAATAAATTCAGCTATCGCGATCTACGACCCAGCCTGGAGTCGAAGCAGGGGAATCCGCTGCACAGTTATTGACTCACTACCAAATTCACGGCGCGCGCACGGAACCGTCCGCTACTGGGTCTTATTATTGTGCGATTAAGCCCTGTGCAATGTGATCTGGAGGGAGATGGCAGAACGAATGAAAAATGTGGGAATCCCAGACCATGACCCAGCCTGGAGTCGAACCAGGGGCACCCCGCTGGCATGCGTCGAAGACGTGACGAGACACACGGCGCGGGCGCGGAACCGTCCGCTACTGGGTCTTATTTCTATGCATTTAAACCCTGCGTCGAGTGTGAGTGCAAGAGATTCCAGCGCGCAAACGAAAAATGAACGGACACCGACTCCATGACCGAGCCGGGAGTCGAACCGGGGGCATCCGCTTGCATCTTACGTGGAACACGGGCAAAGGGCGCGAGCGCGGACCGTCCGCTACTGGGTCCCACTCCCATGCAAAGAACCTCCATGTGGGTGTCATTTCGAGATGACTGTGCAAAGCGCCCGCGACTGAGTTTCATTCCCGTGTTTGGGTCCGCGGGTATGGAATGGTTACGGCGGAGGAATAGTGCGCGCGAGAACCGAGGAGCTGGTTTGGATTCTTGCCAGTTTGGCGCGCACGAACGCACGCAGAACGCAAAAACGTAAGAAGTGGGGGGATTGGCGGGAGAAGACCGTGATAAACGGCGGGCGGGAGAACCGTTGGTCGGATTCTTGCCAGTTTGGCGCGGAGCGACGCGTGGAGGGATGGTGTTGACGGGGATTCAAGATCGGCGTGACGAAATTGAATTGAGAGGGTGGTAGGTAAGAAAGAAACATACGGGATCTGGGACCGGGGTAATCCGTACGGATCGAAGCATGCACATTGCAGGACGACGCGCGACGGGGATCAAAGACGACAGTGACAAGGATTGGTGTGCGGTGTGCCTGGCTTGGCGCGGGTCGGATCCGCGCGCGAGGGCTGAAGTGGGATGTTGCTAATGATCCTCGACTGAGCCAGATACTTGTCTTTTAGAATCAGGCCACGTACCCGATCTCGCTTTCGGAAATCGCACCCGATATCTCGCTTGACCGCGAGCTGAAAACCGCGAGCTGAAAAACCGGGAATCATAGCCAGTGCCGCGCTGGCCTGCCAAGCCCGAATTCGGGCAGATTGGCGCCGGTCTCAGACTAAGTAGTGCTGGTTGTTGACTGAGAAAATGCAGACAGAGGATGAGACGCCGAAATCCGAAGGGTATGTAGCACGTAAGTCTCGGGAACCACGGTGGTCGTGAGGAAAAGGGGATGGCCATCACGGCCTATCACGGCCCACTCCCATCACGCCGTATTTGTGCATATTAGACACGGAAGCCGCCAGCGCCAAGAGAATAAATTCATGTATCCTCCCACCGCCATTGTTGACGAAGACGACCCACCCTGCGAACCATGCCCCTCCTCGCCGCCGCCCGAATGCCTGCCCTCACCGCCGCCGACGTCGTCGGCGCCACCGCCGTCCCCCTCGCCGCTCGCTCCATCACCAACGTCCCCACCGCCACCTCAGGCGAACCCGCCCCCAAAGACACGACAAGCCACTCCCATGCGTGCGTCGCCTTTACCTCGTTGAGCGCTGCAACTCACTTTTCTCCTACCTTGCCTCCCCCTCCCTGCCCGTTTGCGGTGTCGTCCGACCAGCCCCACGCCGACCGCGCACCTCAAGTCCGACAAGCAAGCCAAGGCACCCGTCGGCCTCATCGTCGGCGTCGCCATCGCCATCGTCGCCGCCGTCGCCGGCCTCTTCTTCCTCCGCTACCTCTTCGTGCGCCGCGCCGCCCGCCGCGCCGCGTCGACAACGGGCGCCGCGGCGCCCCCGATGTCCAAGACGCAGCCCTTCCCCGTCCCCGCCAAGGACGTTCCGCCGCCCGCATCCGAACGCGATGCCGTCCCTCTGGGCCACTACCCGCCCTCCTCCGCGACCGGCTCGTGGCCCACGCCCTTCGCCGGCGCTGCGCCGCCACCCGGCGCGGGGACGTCCCCCGCCGCGCGCCAGGCGTACCTCGCGGCGGAGCTCCGCGCAGCGCAGGCGCTGCTCGAGCGCGGGGGGAAGGGCGTCAATGTGGGGAAGACGAAGGCGCGGATCCGGGAGCTCGAGGAGCGGCAGCAGAGTGCGTGGGCGCTCGGGCTCGAGTAGGGGGGGGAGGGCGAGATGGGTGCTCGAGCCGCTGGCCGTCTTCGAGCCGCGGGGACGCCGACCCTGGCTATCGTTATTCATCATCTACGGGCGGGGCTGCTGGTCGGTGCTGGACTGGACTCATTACTTGCGCATTTGGACTCTCAGTGTGTGTACCCTCATCCTACCCCACCTGTGTACATTCCTACCCACCCGACCGTGTGTGGATTCTACCCTACCCTCCCCCTCCTCGCACTCCTACCTCCGCAAACCGGCGCGGACATACATACATACCATACATACATACCCGGATCCGGGATTTCCACGGACTGTATCATACTCTCTTTTTGCTCTCGTTGCTCTGTCGCTTTCGTGCTTTGCGTTGCTTGGACGGTAGAGTCTCCCGCCGCCCTGTCAATTTCTTGCGTACCGGCTCTGCAGGAGGAGGATGTCGCGGCGGAGGTATATCCGCAAATGTATTAATATTATAGGGTCGGCTAGCACGTCAGACGTGATGTAGCGGTAACATGGCCCATTTTACATTGTTTCGGGCAGTCTCGGGTTCGCGCCCCGGTGTCTGACTAAAAGCAGTCGACGTTTTTGATTTGTTGCGTTTCTTTTTCTTGTTAGACTCATCGGGCGTATTCGAGGTATCGGCTAACGAGCATCGCAATTCGGGAAGCCTGTACGTGCGCCGAGGAGCGGATAATAAACGAGAGAGTTGTCCTGGAAAGTTCTCACGCAAACTGGTATATTCACAGATGGGAGAAGCGCAGTAATTCAGACATGGTGTAACGGTAACATAGCTTCATTGAATTGCGGAGCGGTCCTGGGTTCGACTCCCGGTGTCTGACTTCCCCTGTACTAATGTAACTTTTTTCCCCGGTTCTTTTTTCATACCGGGCGTCTGATCTGGCGTGCACTTTTGTTTCTTATTCTTCGGGCGTCTAGAATCTAACAGGTATCCCGGTTTGAAGCTTCAGGATATGAGGAGAGACAAGTGATGTCACCGCAAATGGGCGATAGCGAGCGAGTCAGACGTAGTGTAACGGTAACATTGCCTCATCTTTTGACCGAGGCAGCCCCGGGTTCGACTCCCGGTGTCTGATTAAATCCATTTCGATAGCCTTTTGGTTTTCGCCATGGGCGTGCATTTTTTTCGGTTTTTTTGTTTTTTTGTTTTTGTTTTTGTGTGGATTTCGATGGTTTCGCGGGTCGGATTCTGAAGCCGTGCAGGACACAAAATCGGTTATTCCGGAGGAAGCTCGCAGGTATTATGGTAAGTGGGAATATCTAAGTTAGTCAGACGTGGTGTAACGTTAACATGCCTTATTGAAATTGCCGAGGTGGTCCCGCGTTCGACTCCCGGTGTTTGACTGTAACTATGATCGCGAATTTTTTCTTTCTGGATTGACGTTTACAAACAGGCGATGGCTAGCAAGTTAGAGCTTTGTTTTTCCGTGGACTTCTGTGGGCGGGATTCGTCGAGAGGTAGATTCTAACGGGCCAATTTGGGACGCCTGTACGTACACTCAGGAGTGGAGAGTATCCTGAAGGAAAGAGGTATCCCGGGGCCGGGAAGCAGTATACCCACAAATGGGGAGCACCAGATAAGTCAGACGTGGTGTAACGGTAACATGGCCTCATTACGAAATCGGGGCAGTCCTGGGTTCGTCTCCCGGTGTCTGACTGGCTATGATCGGTGCATCCTTTTTTTTGTTTGCGTATGACTTTTGCATATCGTCGACCTAAGACCTTCGAGATAGAGAGGATGCTGTTATCTCCGCAAATGGGTGGACCCCGAGGTAATCAGACGTGGTGTAACGGTAACACGGCCCATTTTCCACCGTATTCGAGCAGTCCCGGGTTCGACTCCCGGTGTCTGACTGCATATGATTTTGCTCCTTCTTGCATATTTCGATCAGTGTATTCCGCTAATGCGAGGGGAACTCAGTCAGACGTAGTGTAACGGTAACATTGCCTCATTAGTTACCGGGGCAGTCCTGGGTTCGACTCCCGGTGTCTGACTGATCCTGTCATCGACCTTTTTGATCGCTTTTGATATCACAAAGCCCACAGGTCAGATGTGGTAACACTTTTCGAATTCCGATGAAAGCTTGGCATTTGCATGGGCTTTCTATATGAGAGATGTACGCTCGGGGATATTCCGTGAGTCAGACGTGGTGTAGTGGCAACATGGCCTATTCTTCGTTCAACGAAAACAAGGCAGTCCCGGGTTCGAATCCCGGTGTTTGACTAATGGTTCCGAAGATATTTGTTTTCTTATTTGCTTATTGGGTGACTTCCCGTAAGCATAGATAAATTCCCGGGAATATTTATTCTCTTACCACCGCCACTGCCGAAGCAGCTGTCAGGACCCCATCAATGGGCAACCCAAAAGCGTTCAAGATTTATTCTGAATCTAAGAAAGTCTGTAGAGGGGTCCCTACCCCCCCTACAGATTTTATCAGACGGAATAAAATGTTTTGGCATCAAATGTCCACTCTTCACCCTCTTCCTCAACCACCAGGCCACTGATTCATGTCGTGAAAAATCAAGTAACCTCTCACTACCATTGGAGTGCATTCCGGCTCGTCTCCAAGGCTGAAGATGAGTTGGATTTATTTATTCTTTTTTATGGGAATGCGGGTCTGTGGTAGATGACTTGAATATCTTATGGTTTGATGCCATCGCTGGCACTCTCAAACAAGCTCAGAAATGCGCGAAGAATATTCTATGCTTACAGGAAGTCATCCATTGGGTGACTTTCCATAAGCAATAGAAAATGATTCTGGAATATTTCTGCTCTTGCCGTCGCCGCTGCCGAGGCAGCTGTCAGGACCCCATCAACGGGCAACCCCAAAGCGGACAAGAAATATTCCAGATCTACGAAAATCTGTAGAGGGGTGCTCCCCCCTCTACAGATTATTGTTATTGGAATAAACTGTTTTGGGTGGCCAACGGTTACTCCTCGCCCACTTGTGAAACCATCGAGTCTCTGATTCATGTTAGAAAAATTCAACAACCTTCTGTTACCCATCGGAGTTTGTTCTGGCCCTTGTTCAAGCATGAAGACCAATTCATGTTTTTTATTCTTTCTTATGGGAACCCAAGCCGGGATCAGACGATCCGAATTTCCTCTACCTTGATGCCATCGCTGGCACTCTCGATTAAGCTCAGAAATACCTCAGGATTAGTTTATGCTTATGGAAAGTCAACCATTTCTGTGTCTCCCACTCTCGCAGACTGAGATTCTATTGTGGGGTACATACATATCGCGTTGAATTGGGACTTTGTAGTACTGACAGAATGCGGAGGAGCACTATCACTGGACGTGGAAAGTATCATATTTACTATTTACAATGGGCAGCTGGGGACCTCTGCCCATCCCCGTCAGTGAGTCGGGCAACACAGAGTGGGCCCGATCCATCTTGCGGAGTGCACCCCTTTGTTATCATTTCGAGCTCGGGCTCAATTAATCATACTGATGATGATTCTGCTGCGACCCTTTACAGGACAAGGATAAGCAGCTTGATATTCGTCATCGTTCGACTTGCGAGCGGACTGTCAGGATTCCTTTGGGTTGGCTAATTGTATGGGACCGCAGGGTCACATAATCATATACCTATGGGACTGGTACATTGGGTTGCATGAACATGATGTGGATGTGGATACGTAGATACGTAGAGAAAATTATGACGGTATTTATCGTCAAGAATTATTAACACACTTTCGGGAACATTGTACAGTGCACGTGAGGTGTATTTGGTGTACATTCAACTGCAAAATGTACATTTCTGAGGCTGCAGATACTTGAATTGTGAACAGTCTAGACCCCAAGTTTGGGCATGCATAGAATATATATACAAATGAGTTGAACTGGGTTGAACTTCGAGTTCATCACCAGATTGTCGTGACTCCGGTGAGCACGGCCCATAGTAGCTCGGGCTCCTCGGTCCAAAACGGGCACCTTTTATTTTGATTATTTTGCGAAAGGGAGAGCTCCGATATTTTACTTCAGACACTTGTTTGAAGCCAACCTATGGCTAGCAGAAAAAATGACAAAGGGTATCAAAATGGTGTGATTTTTCTAGGACCTTGAAAGGTAAATTGAGACTGATCTCTCCAGCCCAACCATTGAAAATATGCCCTGGTGGGTGGGATTAAGGCCTGTCTTGTGGCCTTTTATTTGGCTGATTCCATCGCACTATGATGCCATGTGACCAGATATGCAGCCGGGACAAGTTCATTGTTCAACTTGTGATTGTACAATGTTCATGTTGTAAAGTGCATGTGAGAAGTTCATTATTGCTCTACTAATAGTACATATTTTTTGATGAAAAAAGCTTTTATAGAAAATAGCCAGACATGGTGTAGAGAAACACGGCCTCGCCCTCTTGCTTGCGGCCCGAGATAATTCGGAGGAGGCAATCCCAGGTTCAACTCCCGGCGTCTGAGTGATTGAGCAGAGTCGGATATTTTTGGTGGCTTGGATTCGCATTCAGATTTACATGTGGCACGGGGATAGTGCACGATAGATGTGTAATTTAAGCCTGCAGAAATAAATCGGCCACTGGAGCGATTGCGGTAATTGTTATAAGACTCTCATCCAACACAGAAGACACCGACAGCAGGAGGCTACACTCATGCAGCTCACTTTAATTGAATAGAGTCATCATTTACTTTGCCATTGTGCAGCTCCTTCACCTTCCACATCCAGATACTGTATTTTTCGTTCAATCCGACCAGGGGGGTGACGCGTGACTCAAATTACCGATTCGACCATTCGACCACGGCCGAAATTTACGTGACACAAGCGAAAAATTCGATCACCGGAACGAAATTTTCGATTTTACGTGTCGCGGACGTGATATTGGGCAATTTCGAGGGCTGCGTGACACAAAATATGTTCGACCAGAGGGTGGGTGATGCATGACAAAATACCAATATTCGCCATCGACCAAGGGGGGAGTGACGTGTGACGGTTGAATTGAATGAAAAAATACAGTAGTTCTAATCCACGAAACATCAGTACTGTTGGAGATCCAAATACATTCGCGGCAAACGGTGGATGGACGTATTCCCCTGTTAATGAAAAGTTGTGAATCCGATGCACTAATTTTCCATCGATGATTCTTCGGGAGTCTTCGGGAACCTCAGCCAAATTAGAACCTCCCCCGATTTTCCCCTTCAGTAAGTGGAAACATCGGCAATCGCATCGGCGGTTGTAAAGCCGAACTTCGGCTCCGATGTTGCTGTTGTGCCCTGTTGATTCTGCGGCTTCGCTCCTTCCCCTTCCGCAAAGATGCATGATTGCATGAAAATCGAGGAACTCGTGCAGATGATATTCGCCCATCTGGAACTTCCGATTTGGGGCTCCAACGCAGATTCAACCGCTCTCGCTGCTCTTGCACGGACATGCACTATTTTCTGCAGCCCCGCCCTCGATCTATTGTGGGCAAAGCAGGAAACCCTTGTGAACCTGCTGCGATGCATGCCCACCGATCTCATTGAAATTACGCCCCCCACCGCGGTGTCAGAATCAAAGATTGTGAGTCACCCGATTGAATCAGGATTCCCAAGACTCATATTTTATGCAGACACTTCTTCGACCTATTCGCGCTCGAGACTGGAAGCGCCCCCTCTTTTATGCGCCTCGTGTGAAGGAGTTTCAATATCCGTTTACTCACATCGGTCACACCTCACTGTTCGACATTTTCCCAGCGCTCAGCTTGTCGCTTCCAACCGAGTGCGTGTTCCCCAATCTTACGCGCCTCAGCTGGTTCCCGCGTAATGACGCCGACTTCCCAAACATCTACCTCTTCATCACCGGGGCACTTACCTCCATCACCATCATATGCACCCCTTCCAGCTGCAACCTTTCGGTCCTCGCTGGCCTTGCACGTAAATGTCGCGCATTGAAGGATGTTTCGATCCACATCCTCTCCCCATATGCCCCCACTTTGCCCTCGAGCGTCCATTCCAGTCTCTCCGAGTTTGTCCAGGAGTTGTTAGTCGTCCAGAACCTACGCATCTTCATCCCCGATCTGTCCGCCTTCCAGCATATCGGACGGTTGGAGACGCTTCGGACCTGGGAAATTCCGAGCTTGCCACTTTTCCTCTCTTCGGCACCCCTAATCGACTTGGATTTGTTTCGTAACCTGAAACACCTGATTATCTCGATGATCGATGTCGAAATTGCCGCAATACATTTCCTGCAAAGCGCTCGAGCCTCGTTCGAACTGCTCACTCTCACTTTCTGCGACTTCCCGATGGCGGACACCACGAGCGCCTTCTACAGCGTCTTGTCGCAGTGCATCCTTTCACACTCATCCCTCGAATCAATGATACTCATCTATCCCGACCCGGAGAGCGATAACAACCCGTGTACATGATCGCCAGTCACCCCTTCCGGCTCCTCTTTTGCTTCCGAAATCTCGCCGTCGTCAGGATTTTCTCGGCATTTGGATTTGACCTCAACGACGTGACAGTGGCTGACATGGCGAGGGCGTGGCCGCGCCTAAAAACGCTCGACCTGCTGTCAGTCGATCGTCCAGCTAGACAGCGCGTCACGCTGGATGGCCTGCGCTCCCTCAGCCGATATTGCCCCCTCCTTCAGTCCCTCGAGATGACGTTCGATGCATCCGTGGTACCCGAGATGGATCCCGCGGTCGCACCAATCGGACCACAGCAATTGACGTGGTTGTTTGTCGGCCACTCGCGCATATTGGGACCGGCGGCCGTTGCGCAATTCATCTCCTCCATTTTCCCGAGCGTAACACGCATCCCGGTCGATACTAGAGGCAATGAACCCGAGGAGATTGCGCGGCAGGCGCGCTGGAAGGAGGTCGAGTCCCAGCTGCGGGCGCATACGACGTAATTTGATCTTCGGTGTCCCGTCCTGGATGTTCTAAATTTCCTCCCGAGGCAATCCTCCAGTATCCCCAGGTACAACGATTATATTCATTCCCTCCCAGGATTGTTTGGCATATTTAGAGATAATGCAGTGACTCCACGCAGCTGATAAAAGAGACAGACTAAGTCGTGCATGGCTTCGCCGTGAGAGGGCACACCACACCTAAGAAATAAGTGGTGTTACGTGAGCGGCGGGCTGAGTGTGAGAGGAGCAGTAGTGATGGGGATTGACAAAGTTCAGCATAGTACCCACAGGAGCCTGAACTCCCGCCATTTATTGATGCATGGAGGCTGCGGAATACGCAAAAATCTATGTACAGGGTTCCGGGGTTCGACGCACGGTGCAAATTCGACAAGACTGGGTTTTTGGGGCCCACTTCGGAGTGAAATTGTATAGTACCTGCAGAGGATGAGTTGTCGGAATTTGCGGAAAGAGAAAACCGTACACAAGAAAAGGGATGGCGCCGTCACTTATTCAGGTTTTTTGATCATCGGCGGCGAGGGTCTCTCGGCACAGTAGGGGCCTGGGCAGATGGGGGTGTATTCGGCGGACCCCAGGAGCCGGGAGTGAGCGGGAAGTCGCGTCCACGGTGCGCGGGAGGGCCGCTCGGGGTGAGGGACCGGGCGTTGGTCCGCGCTGAGGGACAGAATATGAGCCTCTGCCAAGGTATCTCGGCGTCGAATGTTGCGTTGCGGGCGATAGTGCTATGTAGCGTTGAAGTAGAGATGCAAAGTACGCGGTAGGGACGTACGAGCTGTATTGGCACCCGTTTGAACGCACTTTGGGGGTAGTCTATGGATAGTTGACGGGCTTTCCGTTCTTTGACGCTTCGAGGGTGGCGATTCGTTGCCTTGTGATAGAATTTGCGTCAAATCTTGATTCTGACGAACTGCTGGCATACCTGTATCGCATTCAGTTGGTCGGCGGCAAGGTATCGTGGATTCGGACGCGGTGGCTGTCGGGCGCGGTGAGCGACTGCCGAGGATCTTGTATAAGTGCAAAACTCACGATCGAGCGGGCGCGCAGAGAGCCGTACCACGAGCTCGGGGGTTGGAGGGAAGGTCTTCGGTTGGATGATCTGGATCATGCGATGCAAGTGGTCGGCAATGGATTTGCGATCGTCGAGGATTGCCTTCTGTGAGGTATCGCGCTCCACCTCGAAGTTGGAGCGATGCGTCTCAAAGATACCGCGCTCCGTCGTCAGTACCTCCCGTTCCACCTTCAGCGCTTCACGGTCCTTGGCGGTGGACGCCTGCAGCGCGTCCATCTGCGCTTGGAGTTCCATGTGTGCTTGTTTGATGGAATCCAGCAGGGCGCTCTTTTCCCTAGTCTCCCTTTGTGTAACGTTCCAAGCCCTAGATAGCTCGGCATTGTACTTTCGAAGTGATTCCACGTCCGCCCGGTCCTTTTCGCTCGACGCCGTCAAATCCTCGTTCGACGCCTTCAAATGCGTGATCTCGGCTCTCAGAGCTTCGAACTGCCTTTCAGCCAGGGCTACGAGCATTCTAGGAGGTCTGGGGTATCGCGTGCTGTGGATATGACTCGCTGCGCCTCCGCAAGCGCCTGTGCAGCCTCCGCGTACGGATCGCCAGCGTCGAGCGCAGCATCGTCAGGATCCTCGAGTTTCAGCCGAGCAGGTGATTCTGAGGGCATAATGAATGGATTTAGAATGGCGCTGTATGCGATTTGCGCCGGGAATTTGGAAGAGCAAGATGGAGGGGAAGAGGGGCGGGATGCGCGAGATATTTGCCATCATCGGCCAGATTCAACGCAACCACATTCGGCTACTGGTCAGAGGACTCTTTTTGATTCTCCTCCGCCAAGAATGGTTCCACTACCCACTCCTGGCTGTGCGGAATGTACGGGAAGAGACACTGTTTTTGTAAAAAAAACACACTGTCATACAAATTGCATCCAAATCTTCCTCAAATCTTACAATTCGCACAAATTCGCACTGGAGAGTCGACAGAGTATTAAGCAGACTTCTGCGCACCTGGGCCGCGTTGCGAGAAGTTTCGTGGCTTGGCGGTGTTTTATTTGATCCTATGCTGGATTATATTGCTTTTAGTTGTTTTTTTCGCTCGTTCGCTTGTCAAGTTGCCCGAACCGAGTCGTACAAAGCAGGGCTATAATGAATACGGAACAAGACCCAGGAGCGTACCACGTTGCAGCCCTGCGCCGCGTTTCTAAATGCCATGATCATGTGTGGGGCGATCCTGGTTTGACTCGAGGTGGGTCATGCCCGGGTCTTCTAGTTCTCTTCTCTGCTTCCTGCGCGTTCGAAAGCGCCCTCGACATGGAGGATATTTGAATAAGAATAAGACCCAGTAGGGGACTCGGAGACTCGGAGGTTCCGCTCCCACGGTGTGCCCAATTCTCGAATTGTGCCCGCGGGGGCCCCTGGTTCGACTCCAGGCTGAATCATCACATGGCTTGCGAGCATTCTGTTTTTGCTGCTGGAGTGCTAGTCACGGCTCCAAGTCTCATTTGGGGATCTCAGGAAGGAGACACGCCGTGCAGAAAAAACACGATTACGCACCTGGGAGGCCCTTGTGTACGTCCAACTCCAGGCCACGAAACGGACGGGCTGATCCGTTTCCTGCACCGTCAAAATCATATCCATCCTACCAGTGCAGGGTTCAGCTTCGTAGGAAAGAGACCCGGTGGCGGACAGTTCCACATAATCGATGAGCCATTCGCGGAAGTCTCTGGTTCGACTCCAGGCTGGGTCGTGATTCGGCGAGTTTCGTTTTGGCACGCTGCCTCTCTAGTTTCAACAGTTACCGAGGGCGGGACTTACTGTAAACGTCTTGAGTGCGAACCTTGGTTCGATATTCGATGTCAGGATCTCGGTTTCTCGTACCATCGCCCGCAACCTGCCCTGAATGCCTAGAAAGTTTTGTTTCGCGCTCACTGTTTAACCGAGAAAGTGCAGCCGCCTGCAAAGATTCTGATATCCAGACTTACCCGAGCTGCATTTCGCGTCATTCAAGGGAGTTCGACTCTCCAAGGTTTCGCATAACGAATCACTGAGGAGCGCTGGCTGAATATTCTAGCAGCAAGAACGGTAGGGTGGATATGAATGTAGCCGACCACTTGTGGGATGACCCTTAAACTGGAGGGCGCTGCTCAATGAAATTTCGGAGGCCATGAAGAGCGTTACTTACATCTCTGGGGCGGACCTACGCTCGTATGGTACCGAGTCCCGAAGAATAAATTGTTGGCCTCAGGCGCAGTTTTTGTTGCGCAAGGCAGCGTATGATTGAGTCGAGCTGAATGAAGTAAGGACGGAATAATTTAGGCATTATAACTGGAGGTATGCATTTTACACGCAGAGTCGGAGGCCTGGAACTAGTGCTTCACCAGATTAGAACCAGTTCCCATAAGTATATCCTGCCATCCACCCCCTCTACCGACTCTGCTTCCAACTTACTCGCTGCTCACTGCACCGTCCGCAGCACGCCCCTCGCCTCAAGCCCCGCCAGCCGCTCCCGCACGGTCCCCGCGAAATAGGCGAAGGCGCCCGACGCGCTCCCAACACTATACTTCTCGTACCGGAACGTGAGCGCGCGGAGGCGCGGGACGGCGACGAGCGCGGCCTCGAGCGCGCGCCAGATGGAGGGGGGCACCGCGTCAATGTCGCGCACAGCGTCATCGATGTCGCGCCGGCCCAAGCTGTGGGCGAGGGAAATGGATTCGAGGGCGCTGTCTGCGGGTGTGATGTGGCCGGTTAAGGGCACGGCCGTGGGCGCGTGGAGGAAGACGGCGAGCCAGCGGAGGGACGTGCCGAACTCGGCAATGGGTCCAGGGGCGTCTTTGAGGTGGAGCGTGTGGAGGAGGGGGAAGGATGCCAGGGAGTTGGGTACGTCCGCGGGGGTCGAGAGGGGCATCGCTGTGAGCGGCGGATAATCACCGAGGTTGAGCGTGAGAACCTGAAGGGATGCGGCGCCGGCGAGGACGAGGGGCGGGAGGCGGTCGGGCGCGTCGTTCAGGGCGTCGTTCAGGGTATAGATCACGTCGATCGCGAGCGTGTGCAGCGCGGCGAGGAAGCCGCTCGGGACAAGCCACGCCCCAAGCGGGACCAGTACCTTGCAGTTGCCCGATATGCGCACCGTGCGCAGACGCGGGGCGGCCTCCGGAGGGATCACAGACGTCGTCCGGCCATAGGGTCCACCCCGTATTCCTCTCACCGTGGACCGCAAGGTCCGTCAGCGCAGCGCATCCGTTGAGCAGCGCGGCCCACTCCGGGAGGGTCCAGAAGCGGTGGTCGATGGAGAGCTCCACGCTCGTGAGGTGGCGTGTCGTGTCCGAGAGAATGCCATGTTGCCCGGCGGAGAGGTGGCGGAAGCCGAAGGGGTCACAATGCGTGGAGAGCTCGGTGAGATTCGGGAGCCGGGCCATGCTCTCGGACGGGAGGAGCGCGGACCCAGTGCGCGGCATATCCAGGCGGCGTACATAGCTTGCAACCGCGGGCGACGACGCAATGAGAGCGTGGAAGCCATCATTATTTCCCCCAGTCAGGCGCACCGATGAAAAGGGATGTAGACGACTCCACGGGAGAAAATCCCGCGAGATGAGCGCGCAGGTGCACAGGGCGGGGATGTCGGTCCGGAGTTCCCTGACAATCTTGTCTACCAATTCCGGCGGGAGGTCTAGTTTGGAAGCCATGAGGGCAGCCGTATTTTGGTCTCTCTGGAGCGAAAAAGCAAGGATTCCTAAAGAATTTAATTGTTAGAGACGCTGGGAAAATGACGCTGTGACATTTAGACGATGTTGCGTCTTCTCGCAGACAGACTAGGTCGGGCGGAATCGAGCGGAGAAAGTCGGGGAATTACGCACCAGAAATGACAAATTGTTTGCCAAAAAAGGAGAAAATTCAAAATGTGATGGTCCGTCAAAAGGTGGGTTGATATAAGAACCCGTACCTAAAGGTAAAGGGAACATCTATCCTGCCAGTGCAGGGTTCAGCTTCGTAGGAAAGAGACCCGGTGGCGGACGGTTCCGCGCCCGCTCCTTATATCTCCATCGATGAGCCATCCGCGGGAGTCTCTGGTTCGACGCCAGGCCGGGTTGTGTTTCGGTCAGTTCCAAGTCAGTTCCATTTTGGCGCGCTGCATCTCTAGTTTCAACCTTTACCGAAGGCGGGACTTACTGTCAACGTCTCGAGGGCGAAACTTCGTCCGATGTTCGATGCCAGGATCTCGGTTTCTCGTATTGTCAACCTGCCTTGAATACGTAGAAAGGTCAGTCCTATTTAACTAAATGGGTCTTACCTCGGGGGGAGACAGGGCTGCCGCCCGCAGAGATTCTGATATCCAGACTTATCCGAGCTACATTTCGTGGCATTCAAGGTAGTTTGACTCTCCAAGGTTTCTCGCAACGGACCACTGAGGAGCGCCCTATCAGCAAGAACGGTAAGGTGGATATGAATGCAGCCGACCACTTTGGGATGATCCTTATACAGGCGGGCGCTTCGCAATAAACTTTCGCAGGCCATGAAGAGCGTTATTTACATCTTCCGGGCGGACTAACGCTCGTATGGCACCGAGTCCCGAAGAATAAGGCCTCGGGCGCGTGTCATTCAATCGAGCCGAATTAGTCAGATACCTATGGCCGACAGATAGAATAGCATGTGCCGAGGACGGTGAAGAAAGCAAGGACGAAATAGTCGTGGCAGTTTAACCCGTTCCACGCTGGCCCAGGAACGGTCGGCGGAAACTAGAGCGATCGCGATCCATGAGCATTCCGCTGTGTCAATAGATGAGAATCGATTCCAATAATTATATCTTACAATCCACCCCCTCCAAGTACCGCTTCCGCTCTTAACTTCACTGCTCATTGCACCGTCCGCAGCACGCCCCTCGCCTCGAGCCCCGCTAGCTGCGCCCGGACGGTCCCCGCGAAATGCGCGAAGGCGCCCGGCGCGCTCCCGACGCTATACTTCCCGTACCCTTTGAACGTGAGCGCGTGGAGGCGCGGGGAAGCGAGGAGCGCGGCCTCGAGCGCACGCCAGGTGGAGGCGGGCACGGCATCGATGTCGCGCCGGACCAAGCTGTGGGCGAGGGAGACGGATTCGAGGGCGCTATCTGCGGGTGTGATGTGGTCGGTTGCGGGCGCGTGGAGGAAGTCGGCGAGCCAGCGGAGGGACGCGCCGAACTCGGCGTCGGGGCCATCTTTGAGGTGGAGCGTGTGGAGGAGGGGGAAGGACGCGAGGGAGATGGGTACGTCCGCGGGGGTCGAGAGGGGCATCGCTGCGAGCTGCGAGTAAGCATGGATATTATGGGTTTCTAGTAAAAGGGAACGCACGGGGATCAAGATGGAGCGTGAGAACCTCGAGGGACGCGGCGCCGGCGAGGACGAGGGGCAGGCGGCGGTCCGGGGGGTCGTAGTCGTCCAGGACGTAGTCCACATCGATCGCGAGCGTGTGCAGCGCGACGAGGAAACCGCTCGGGAGGAGCCACGCCCCGAGTGGGCCCAGGACCTTGCAGTCGCCCGATATGCGAAGCGTACGCAGGCGCGGGGCGTCCTCCGGAGGTGCCACAGGCATCTCCAGTCCGACGTCCTCCGACCATAGGGCCGTAGGATCAGCGTGGATCGCGAGGTTCTTCAGCGTAGCGCATCCGTTGAGCAGCGCGGCCCACTCCGGGAGAGTCCAGAAGCGGTCGATGGAGAGCTCCACGCTCGTGAGGTGGCGCGTCGTGTCCGAGAGAATGCGGTGTTGCGCAGCGGAGAGGTGGCGGAAGCCAAAGGGGTCGCAGTGCGTGGAGAGCTTGGTGAGATTCGGGAGCCGGGCCATGCTCTCGGGCGGGAGGAGCACGAACGCTGGGAGCGAGGCCATTAAGGGCATTTCCAGGCGGCGTACATAGCTTGCGACCGCGGGCGACGACGCAATGAGAGTGCGGAACGCGTAGAAATTTCCCCCAGTCAGGCGCACCGATGAAAAGAGATGTAGACGGCTCCACGGGAGAAAATCCCGCGAGATGAGCGCGCAGGTGCACAGCGCGGGGATGTCGTTCCGGAGTTCGCTGACAATCTTGTCTACCAATTCCTGCGGGAGGTCAAAGTGGGAAGCCATGAAAGCAGTCGCGTTTTGGTCCGTCTAGAGTGAACACATGGAAGAGTGGGGCTGGGAGTCCGGCGGCAAGAGGCCCAGGATATGCGGTATATGCGGCGCACAGCCCCGTTGAGCTGACTCATATGATGCCTCGGCGATCGGAACTGCAGATAAGGAGATTAGATAAGATCAGGGTGCTGAAGTGCGGTTACGCGCAGATTTTCCCACAGGAAGTAACCCGCTCCTCCCAACTCCCTTACTACTAACCTGCAATCTGTTGAATCATAGCCCGAAGCGGACAACCTCGGGTATCGGGCATCGGTCATCGGGGATCGGGCAATTCGAACATCCCCGAACTTTCTTACTCATTCTACTATATTCTTCTCACTGACTACATAACAGACGTTACTTCTCCCGCCCATTAGGGCACACGCCGGGTGCAAAAAGTTAGTGTATGTCTTCTATTCAGAGTTGGTATATAGCGGCCAGCTTCATCACTCAATTACATTAAATAAGGGAGGGAAAGGCATGTCAATGGTTTGAAAGTGGGAAATGAAAAGACGCGCCAATTATCGAAGTTCTACACTATTTTCCAGTGAACTAATTGATAGGCGGCGAAAATCGGGATAATTAACCGAGGACAGCCAATCCTGCACTGACCACTCGTCGCTCGAAACCTTTAAAAAACATGAACAGCTCGCGAGTAGGAGAATCGCCAGCGGCGCCGCCGGTCGCGTGCAAGCCCTCGGCCTGGCACGACAGATACCGGAATTTCGATTTTGTTCCCTTTCGAAATCCCGTTTATTCGAAGCAGGAATTAATTGGGTACCCAGTGGCGGATGGTTCCGTATCCATGCCGTGTACACGAAGATGGATGCAGTGGGAGGCCCTGGTTCAACTCTAGGCTGGGTCATGCACTGGATTTCTCAATGTTTTGCTACCGTTTCAACATCGTTCTTATTGAGCGGGGTTCAAATTGGTAGTCCGAGACCTGGCAGTAACGGATGGTGATGTCAGCTGATCGTCTCAAGTAGATGGGCGGGGATTTATGGTTAATTCTAAGCGGGGAAAATTGCGTGGGCACTCGATCTGTCTTTCATGCATCACTGATTTTACAAATTGAGTGCAGACAGTACATGCACACATTGCATACTGCCTGGTGAGATTCCAGGCTATAGTGATGAGCTCCAGTAGCGGACGGTTACACATCCAGAATCTTACAGCGGAAGTCTCTGGTTCGAGTCCAGGCTAGGGTCGTGTTTGAGTGGGCGGATAAGCTCCCTTTTTGTCGTTCCTTCGCTGTACTAATTTTAGGCAGGGAAAGACTTTCTGCATCCGCATCCTCTGGGTTGATACATTTCGGGACACGGGTTCTGTCACATTTCGTACGATCTTCAAGCTTGCAATCTGGTCAAAATCGGGCTTATGACGCAGGGATATCGATTAGCTGGGTATGAGTGAGACCCTAGGCCTCTGTATATATCGAACAAGCCTGTGAGCGAAAAACAAAGAAGGGGAATTCCCGCACGACCCAGCCTGGACTTGAACCAGGTACTCCCGTGAAAGTATGGGCTGGTTACATTACATTTATAGGGTGGGCGCAGAGCCGTCCGCGACTGGGTCTCATAAGATAGTCGTCGTAGCTCGTGGAAGTGGGGAGATGCGGAGTAGCAGGTTCGTAAGCTAAGCACGCCGAGATATAGCTGTCGTGGGTTTGTAGATCCCCGGTGAAGACGTTGAAACACTAGCTCCCAGATGAGTGGTAAGGGCGAGATGATTCTTCGCTGACGCAGTGGGCGCATACTTACTGACAAAAATGATGATGCAGCCAAAATAAATAAAATCGTGTCAAGCCGCAAGCAGAAAATACAGATTCTACATGCCGCCGATACGACACTCCCTTCCCGTTGGGTAATCTCAAAAACAAGCCAGAGACGCTGCCCTTTGGCTCAGGGTGGCCTTCTCGACTTCCTAGATCTAATTGGGTATGAGCGAGACACGCGGGCGGACAGCCACTACCATATCCAATGAATTCTACTTGTGCAGTGGAAAACCCTGGGTCATTCTTTAGTTTCGTCTTTTGCTGGCGGCTCAACATCGCGTTTCTGTGGGAGCAACTTGCTAGAACAGAGTAGCGGCGGATTCGTAACTATGCGCCCGGGAAGGCGACAACTGCGAACGAGCCAGAATAAAAACGAACAGATTTTCCACACGACTCAGTCTGGACTCGAACCAGGGCTTCCTACAACACTGCAAAGTAGCACACGAAACAAGGCGCAGCGCGGACCCTCCGCTATGGGGTCTCATTCCCACTCAAACCCTCTGTCGAGCGCGAGTTCGAGAGCGAACGAACAAAAGATTCCGCCCGAATCATGACGAGCCAGCCTGGGGTCGAACCAGGGATTCATGCTTCAGACCTAGCGCAAACAAACCCTCCGCTACTAGATCTCTTCCTCGTACAGTTAAACCCCTTGTAAACGCACACGCAAATAGGGGGAAAATAGCGCCGGAGTCTACGCGAGCGTCTAGATCTGCGTCGGCGCCGGCCTTTGAGAACGTCAGACCTCGGGGGATCGAATAGGTAAGTAGAATCGCGCACCTGGCGGCATCGCTCGAATGTCACCCACCTCACTCCTCCCCGATTTACATTTCATCTTACCGGCTCCCGCTCCCGCACCGGCGCCCGCGCCCGCGCCCGATTACCCTCGCCTGATTACCCTCGCCTCTTCCTCCGTTGTAGCATTCTACAACAAACTACCCCCGTCCGCACGCACCTGCCGCCCCAATCGAAGCGGCATCCGCCCCAACCAACGCAGCATACACCCCCCGCGCCTCCCCCCACCTCGCATGCCGGAGACTAAACCCCCTCATCGCCGCACACGCCGCCTCGTCCCCCGCCGACACGATACCGTGCCGGAGCAGGGACGCAAAGAATCTGCAGAGCTGCGTGGGGCGTGGTGTCAGTTTGTGCGCCGAGCGAGGAAGGCAAATAAATGGGCAAGGGAGAGGGGAGGAAGAC